GAAAAATATTTTGGTTTATAACCTAATTCCTATTCTACTTTGTGTTTCGTGCTAATGAGCAAATGTTAGCATGCTTACATGCTAAACTGAGATGGTGTACACGGTAACCTTTACACCTACACATATGTTAGCCTGGCTGTAGACTGTAGGTGGATCTACAGTCCTGTCTGAGCAGGATACAGCAAAGCTACAAAGGACACTGCTGCTCTGTGGAGACTGTCTCCATCTAAAGTAAAAGGAAGACGGATTCAGAACATGGAGATACTTCACGGACCCTCTGCACTGGGGATGCATGGGGGGGGGTCTTTGTTCTCCTAATTAGGTTTTTTGAAGTAATCGTCAGTTGAGTTCAGTAACTGTCAGACAATGAACCACAGACTTAATGAATATATGACACAATCACTGACTGTCACACAGAGCAGGGAGCTGCTCTCACTATGTTTGATGTGTTATCACTAATGTGTGTTCAGCTGATGTGAACACACTCCACCTCAGGTTGACTGTCCGTCATTTTGACTGACAGGGTCGCCAACATAACATCATCATCCACCAGAATTTAATTCTCATCCTTAATGATAATGATTGACTATTTAGTAACATTTCATTTAAAAAACAACTCACAACATGAATTCAGACCTTCCTCCTGGTCCACATGAACTTAGCCCCGGTTTTACTTCACATTAGGAGACTTTCATTAGGTTTTGCTTCTTTGCCTCACACAGACGACTTCTCACCTGCTTTGCTGCCACACTGTAGTCAAGCACCACCAGTTCTTTCCCTCCTGCTGCTGTAAGACCACACCCACCAAAAACTGACAAACTCACCATGTGCAATAATTAGCACGCACCATCTGTGCAGTATTCCTTATCTGCTGCTATTTTTCTGACGTATTTGTTCTGTATCACTGTGGTTACTTTACTTTCTGAAACCTCCAGGACATGTTAACTCTTTGTGCGATGACCAGATCACCTTCTCATCTGATGTTCAGTTCATTTTCAACAGCTGAATGTTTCCTATTCACTGATCCTGAACATGTTTTTCAGAGACAAGATAACTTTGAGTTCATCAGGTCAGATTTACAGCCTGTTTGAATGTGGCTGACACTCCTTTATGAAACACAAAATTTTAGATTTCATTTAGGCAAAAGACTCTTGATGTACATGAATAAACTGAACTTAATGTTCGAGCACCTGCTTTAACTGAGTCTGTCATATGTTTTAGCTCCAGTTGTTGGTTCAAAACATTTCATCCTTGCTCCTGTCTCAGAAATAGTGCAGAAAGTCAAGTTATAAATCATATCAGATAGTTTTTATGTCACTGTGTTCAGTCCAATCAATCATAATCTCTTCATTTAGAGGTTTGTATCTCAGGCTCTCCAGAACAGGTCCAGACTTGTTCAGTTTTTGTTTCCTCAGGTAAGATCTATGGTGTGCCACAGGGTTCAGTCCTTGGTCCCATTCTTTTAGGTTTAAAGGAGTTTTAGCTGTTTTCCTTTGTACGTGGAAATGATCACTCCTGACAGTGTGTTTGGTGGAGGTCACACAGTGCATTTCAGTTTCCTGTTGTTGTCTTCAGCTCAGTGTCTCAGATGTGTTCCTCCACAGAGACTGTGGGTCACAGTGTAAATGATAACTCAGGTGTGTCTGTTTGTTTTTTTTCCCCAGGAGAGGATGAGCTGGAAATATCTCCTTATGATGACACTCTAATGGATACTCGTATGGCGTCCTTAGTGGCCGGTAAAACACACTGTGACACACACACTGTGACACACCCACTTTCACACACACACACACACACACACACACACACACACACACACACACACACACACACACACACACACACACACACACAGTCAGTCAGTCATGCAGTCTTTGTTATGATTCTGTAATTTGAGTCAGTGTCCATCAGTGTCACACATGGAGTGTTTAATGGCAGATTCTATATAGCTCTGTCTTACCAGTCATACAAATACACACCAGGAAAAAAAGAATCAATCAAGACAAAATCACTAAACCTTAGACGTGATAATCAATGTATCAATCAATACACATATAATAACTAGTGACCAGCTGACAGAGAGGATGTTGCTCTTTCTGCATGTCTCAGGACCTGCAGTTACACTCAGGTGGTGTGGGCTGGAGTAGACATCTGCTTCAACATCATACTGTCTCATCATATTTTTTTAAACACTTCATATTTTTAGAATTTAGCCTGTTTTCTGTGTTGGTGGGCCAGGAGGAGACAGGACAGTGCTATGTGGTCTGGGCTTTATTCGATCCCTGGACACTGTAGCACTGTTGACCTCTGAGCAAGTTTTTGTGCCCTTGACAGTGGGACCAATGGACGGGGTTGTCAGTCTCTCAGTTGGTCCAACACTTTGTTTCAGAGCTAATATTGACAACTGCTGACCAGATCCTAGTAATGTTTGGTCTGATGTCACAGAACCCAGACCCAGAACTAAGACCCATGTAAGTTTAAACCTCAGTTACTGAGGCTCAAGTGTGACACAGTCTTCTAATGGTGAATCTACCCTGACTCTTTTTAGTCCCATTCTTTAGTTTATTGTCTTTTATTAGTGCCTAAGCACTGACCAGTGTGAGGCCAGATTCTTCTTCTTTTCTAAAAGAAATAACCTTTTGAGCCTAAGCATGTTCAGAAACTTATCAAACACGTGTCAGGCCGGTGAACATTTACATGTTTTATGGGTCTTGCACGTGGGTATGGCAAAATGACTTGATAGTGCCCAAGTGTGTTTAGTTTAGTTTACCGTTGAAGCTGGTGAGATATTCACCTTTAACTTTTTGGTTCAGCGTATTTTATTTCATGGGAAGATAAAGAAGGATAAGAGGGATAATGGTCATCATTGAAGTGAGAGTGAACAATGGAAACAGATTCAGGTCCATCATCATAGTCACTCTTCAGATACACATGATGAGTAAACATCCACAGGTTTCCTCCTTTCTGACCTGATGTGAAGATCTTACCAATAGGAGCTCTGACCTATAGCTGATGGTTGATCAATAACATTGTGAAAGACATCATCACTGTCCACTGCCCTGCAGCAGCTCACACATTCAAACTAACAGCTGTTTGATGAACTCTTGAAGCAGTTACAGTTGGTGTTTTTGGTGTTTTCTTAATTCACTTCCTTTTCACCTGCTCAGCATCATCTTACACGCAGCTGGATGGTGAGAACCAGTGCCTGAAGGCAGCTCAGGACTGTGGCCTGTATGAGAAGTGTGGCTCCCTGCGATCGGAGTATGTCCTGGCCTGCACCAAGCGGGTTCCCGGGTCCAACCGGTGCAACCAGCACAAGTGCCACCGGGCCCTGCGGCGCTTCCTGGAGCGGGTCCCTGAGGAGTACAGCCTGGGTGTGCTGTTCTGCCCCTGCACCAACGCCCTGTGTGGAGAGAGGAGGAGGAAGACCATCGTACCCTCCTGCTCCTACCAGGACATGGAGGGACTCCAACCCAACTGCCTCCACCAACAAAGTTTCTGTCGCCGTGACGACCTCTGCAGGTTGGTCACATGTCTGAGGCTGATACTGTCTGTTAATGATAACCTTTAAATTGATTCAGTATTCATTAGTACAGTGTGTGTCTGTGTTAATGTGTGTGAATAAAAAAATTATAGTGTTACCCTGCAGCTGACCTCTGATCAGCTGTAAGAACATGAGGACAGTCTGTTGGAGCAACACATTATATTGATCACTCTCAGAGCCGCTGATAGTCCCAGTCATTAACACATCATTGATCTCCCATCATATGGACAAACAGATCCAGATGTTTGGTGTTGAATGACTTTAACCTCAGGTAAACATCAGCACAGGTGAGCATGACTCAGGTGTTGTTACATCACAGATTCATCAGGTCTCTGTGACACAGAGAATGTAAATATTCAAGTTAATTTTCTAACCTGGTATCTCTGATATCTTCTGCCAGGCTGGAGAGTTTTTACTCAAGACATTACAAAGCAGTTACATAAGTCATTAAATACACAGTTTAACTTCTCTACAGCAAAGTTATTGTAGTCGTCATCATCTCTGCCTCCATTAAAGACAGAGTCCCAATAACCAATAATGAGTGTTGAAGGTCAAAGTTCAGCTGAACTGAGCTATAAAACAAAATATTAGATAATGGCTGGTTCACTATTAACAGGTGAAATGTCAATAGTTCAGTTTATTGAAGAGACACGTTTTCACATCTGCTGCTGCAGAGTGAGACTCATCAGTGGATAGGACTATTATCTGTGTTGTTCCCTCAGAGCTCGATTTCTTTGGTAATGGTATGTTAGTTCATTGTGTTTAAATTCTCATGATGTTTGTCTGTGTGAATGGATTTACAGATCACACATATATAGATAGATAGATAGATAGAAATACTTTATTTATCCTCTAGGGAAATTCATGTTGGTACCATGTATAATTGTTGATTGATTAATATAATATAATATAATAATAATAATAATAAACAGTTGATAATAAACCTAAACAATAATAATTAGAATTAGTCACTTCCTTTGGCTGAGGTGTTTGTATAGCCTGATGGAAGATGGAACAAAGGATCCTGAACCTCTCTGTTCTGCAGCGCAGTGAGATGAGACATTTGCTGCAGCTGTAGCTGCTTCTCTGTCCTGCCAGAATGTCGTGGAGAGGATGATTGGTATTGTCCAAGATGGCCTCCATCTTACATTGCATTTGTCTCTTCACAACAGTCCTGAGTGAATCCAGACTCCCAGCACAAACCCAGCCTTTTTGACCAGCTTGTCCAGTCTCGTGTTCATGTCTGACATGCTACTGCCCCAGCTGCCTCCAATATGTTCTTTGTAGGTGAAGTGTAGAGGGTCAAGTGCATGTTGAACCTGTGGCCTGAGAAGGTGGAGAAGCAGCCGCTCCAGGGTGTTCATGATGTGTGATGTGAGGGCCACCGGTCTGTAGTCATTTATCTCAGCCGGTCATTCTTTTTTAGGTAGACATGATGTTTTCCACAGGACCGGGACCCTCCCTGTTTGTAGGCTTAAGTTAAAGATCCTCTGGAGAGGCTCAGCCAGCTGGGCTGCACAGTCCTTTAACAGCCTCGTACACACACCATCCGGACCTGTTGCCTTTCCAGGACATAGCCTCTTGAGCTCCGCCCTCACCTCCTCCCATGTAAAGGACAGGAGACTTGACTCCAGTGTGGAGGGAGTTGCAGTGTCAGGTTGTGGAGGAGATGCCGTAGGAGAAGCTGCAGCTGAAGCAGTGGGAGAGAGAACAGGTGAGGCTGTGTCACACCTGTTGTAGAACAGGTTGAACTCATTGGCCTTGTCCACATCACCTGATGTTGCCTGGCTGTTCTTCTCTTTGCAGCCAGTGATAGTCCTCATCCCCTTCCACACCTCTCTGGTGTTGTTGTGCTGCAGCTTCCTCTCTACTTTCTTTTTGTAGTCCTCCTTCGCCTGCTTTAATCTCCTCTTCAGCTCATGTTGCACACACCTGAGCTTCTCCCTGTCTCCATCCCTGAAGGCCTCCTTTTTCTGCTTGAGGAGGGTCTTGATGTTACTGGTGATCCAGGGTTTGTTGTTTGGAAAGCAGTGTACAGTCCTTGCTGGTATTACAGTGTCCATACAGAAGTTAGTGTAGTCCGTGGTACATTCAACCATTCTATCAAGGTCAGGGTCCCTGCTGTTATCATTTTCCTGTGACTCCAACAGGACATTCCAATCTGTGCACTCAAAAGAGTCTTTTAGAGATTCACTGGCCTCCAGGGTCCAGTTCCTGAATGAGCGGGTGGTTGCAGCCTGCCTCAGTACACAGGGCTTGTAGGAAGGCTGAAGAAAAACCAGATTATGATCTGATCTGCCAAGTGATGGTAGAACTGAAGCAGTGTAGGCCTCCTTAATGTTTGCATACAACAGATCCAGTGTCTTATTTTCCCTTGTGGGACAGTCAACATACTGAGTGAAGCCAGTCAGGTGAGAGGTGAGAGTGACATGGTTAAAATCCCCCGATATTGCAATGAATGCATCAGGATGCTCGGTCTGTACTCTGGCAATAGTCTTGACAATGGTGACGATTGTGTGAGACCTGCCTTGGTACATAGTACAATCTAAGACCAACTGCCAAGAGTTCAATATCCCGACAGCAGATCTTCTCCTTCACTGTGATGTGACCGGGGTTACACCATCTATTGTTCACAAGCAGAACCAGTCCTCCACCTTTATTCTTCCCACTTGCTCTGGCGTCTCTGTCCGCTCGTACTGCAGTGAAGCCGGGTAAATCCACACAGCAGTCAGGAGTGTTGTCATTTAACCAGGTCTCCGTGAAACACATGAGACTACACTCACGATATGCTCACTGGTTTGTCACAAGTGCCTCCAGTTCATCTCACTTGTTAGCCAGGGAGTTGACATTTCCCATGAGGATTGATGGTAGAAAAGGCTTATATCTCCATCTACTAGCCTTTAGCTTAGCCCCGGCTCTGCATCCACAGTATGGCTTCTTCAGCTCAGCTGGTATGTGATGTTCAACTCCATATCTGGTAAACTTTAAAGCCAGGAGTTCTTCCTTTGTGTACATTATTTTCTCCATCCCCAGACAAAACAATGATGTAGAATAAAAAACATTATTCGACAAAAAATATACTAATATATATGAATATATTGCAAAATACTACAAGCTACGTGGACTTGTTGTCAGCGCATCATACAGTGAACAATAGAAAGGTTTCACCATGTTAAATGCTGGTGTGACCAGGATTATTATTATTATTAATCTGTGTCATGATGGTTCAATTTCCATCCTTTAATGTTTCATGTATGAGAGAAATAGAGACACTTCATATAAATTCATATTTATCATAAAATAGTAGAAACAAAGCAGGGGGTGATGGCCCTCAGACATATAAACACATCCTCCATCCTGTAAGACAAGTTTGAGAGAACAGAGGGTCCAGAGTATGAAGAAGAAAAAATTGATGAAAAGACATAGAAAATGTGTCAACACTTGTGCTACAATAAAAACACTCTACATCCACTGAACTTAAATTTACATGAAACACACACATCCTCATTTCCACTGTTTGATGTTGTTGTCTGTGTCGCTGCCAGGTCCAGACTGGCTGACTTCCTTAATAACTGCCAGCCCTCTCCTCTGACAGCCAGTGGCTGTCTGAAAGACTCAGCAGGACTCTGCCTCCGAGCCTACGCTGGACTCATTGGTACGAGACGCAACAACAAAGGGTGGGGTGGGGGGTGGGGGGTTATTGAAAATAGAAGACTGTATTTATCTGCAGACATTAACTCCAGGAGAGAACATCTGAGTTAGTCGCCAGGATGTTGAACTGCGGATCACAACAGAAACAGAGAAGTGTAAAACATTAAGCTTATTTATGGTGTTTCTTCAAGGGACAGTTGGGGTTATTTGACATGGGGTTGTGTGAGGTATTTATGCGTAGCCAGTGTGTTACCTGCAGTAGATTCAGATCAGAGCGCTGCCAGTTAGGAGAGGCAGCAAGAAACACTAGCAGAGTGATGTGCTGCTGTGGGCGGGGCAACAGAAAAAACCTGATTTAGACACTTTTATCAACGCCCACCAAAACAATCCAATATCTGTTTCAATGCTTCATGTATAATAGATAATAAAAACAAAGTGAAGTTTAGCTCTTTCTGATTCACTTAGCTGACATGTAGTTGCGACATAATACAGTGTGCGCTCTAGGTGCGCTTGTGCGTTGGAATACAGTAGTTCAGTGGCTGAGAAAAATGTAGTACCAAAGAAAAGTGCTGTTTTGACACTTTTTCTGTTGCCCCGCCCACAGCAGCACATCACTCTGCTAGTGTTTCTTGCTGCCTCTCCTAACTGGCAGCGCTCTGATCTGAATCTACTGCAGGTAACACACTGGCTACGCATAAATACCTCACACAACCCCATGTCAAATAACCCCAACTATCCCTTTTAATACAGAACAACTGAGCACAAAGAAAAAAGAACAGTAACTGATCCACAAGTCCAGATTTCAGAGCATAGACAGTTTTAAAGCCCCAAAAAAGAACAACACAGGTTAGAATTACCTTTATGACCTGTCTCCAGTCGGAGAGCAGAGCACAGTGTCTGCTGTGACAGGAAGTTTGTGAGCAGGTAGAGAGACAGGAAGTGTGTGAGCAGGTAGAGAGACAGGGAGGGTGTGAGAAGGTAGAGAGACAGGAAGTGTGTGAGCAGGTAGAGAGACAGGGAGGGTGTGAGAAGGTAGAGAGACAGGAAGTGTGTGAGCAGGTAGAGAGACAGGAAGTGTGACAGCTGACAGCAGATCAGTATAGAGGAGTGTAGAGTCTCTGTGAGCTGAGACAGTGATGGATGACTTCTCTATGAGCCTCATAGTTTAATCCTCATATTTACAGCTGACAGACACGACTGTAAAAACATCATGCTCACAGCTTTTCATCAACTCTGCAGGAGTCGACTCTGATCCCAGAGAATCTGATCACTTCTGTTATTGATTATCAGGAGCATGTTGACAGAATCCATATGAGATAAAAGCCTGACAACTACACTGTGACCTGTAGCTCCAGTAAAGTCTTATACTGATGTATAAGGAAACCAGCAGCTGTGTACAACCCTGTCTCTAATTTGCAATAGCAAAGATGTATATTTTTAATAAAGAGTTTTTTTATGATTATGATGAGGAAATTAGGAAATGTTTATTAAATTAACTTACCTTAAAACCTGCAAAATGTGATATGATATGCTAAACATATCAGTAAAGTTTTCACTGACAACATCCACTGTAACTGAAGCCTCATTAAACCTTTAAAACAAAAAAGTCTCAGAGACAAAACATGTTCATTAACATTTAATAATTAAATCCAACCCCAATATAACCAAAGAGATTTTATTGACTAAAGCAAAAACACAGAACCTGTTTGTGTAATAAAACAATTTCCCACCAAACTGCTCAAAGTGAAAGTCAGTGTAGAGTCCGGCCCATATGTTTATGTCTCACTGTGATAAATAAGTATTGATGAATGATTGTTTGTTTGATGACCTGCAGGAACCATCATGACACCCAACTACATCAGCAACAGCTCAGCTGATGTGTCTCTGTGGTGCAACTGTGAGGGCAGCGGGAACCAATGGCAGGACTGTCTGAGGCTGCAGCGCATGTTCACCCACAACAACTGTCTGCGTGAGTCTGAATTACAAGCTTGACATACTAGTCTCAGTCTGACCACATTCACATCATTCAGATTCATTTATGTTTCTATTGTCCCTGAAACTGATTTACTGACGTTTTGATCAGTTCTCAGACAGTTTGTTATATTTGTATCTGCAGGATCAGTGGCGTCAGAGTGCCATGTGCAGGCTGTAGAAATCATTTAGTCTCAGTCCAGCAGGAACACACCTGAATATGTAGATCACCTGGTCTTAATTAGAGTTTTACTCAGCTATACTTTGACTCATCAGCATGAGGCAGATGAAGCAGGGCCTGCCTGGTGCCTCCTGCTGATTAGTTAAAGTATAGTTGAGTAAAACTCTAGTTAAGACCTTTATCATCTCAGTTTTAGTCATTTTTAAGATTTTTTATTTCAGATTTGAGTCAAAACATGATGATGACTCACAGATGAAGAAAACATCACTAATCTGAGAAATGACAGCATCACACACCTGAACCCAGACTTGCACAGACTGACCTGCCTTTAGACAGTGCAAGGCTAACTGTGTCCTTCTGCTTCCAGTCTTTATGCTAATCTAGGCTAACCACTCCTGACTCCACCTCTGTCCTTAAAACACAGCTGTGAAGTTGATGTTGATCTACTCAGTCTAACCTCCTCCACAAACCTCTGAACTGATTTTCACAAAGGACACAATCAAAATAAACATTTTTCAGAAAATGCTGACACTTATTTTTTCTTCATTTCTCTATGAAGAACATTTGTGCAGATCAACGCATTCATATTCATATAAAGAAAGTTTCTGAGAGCAGAACTTGATCTTCTTCTTAACATCGATTTTTCTAATAAAGAATATCCTAAAAGAACATAAGGACATGATTTCCCATGATGCTCTGCCTGCTGTTCCAGATGCTTTTTATTCCAAAGCAGCGGAGTATTTTGGTGATATTTGGAATATAGAAAGAACGGCTGCAATCACATTGTTTTAATAAAGCCTGTTTTAAATAATGCATCTGAAGACTAGAATTAATGTGTCAGCAGCAGTGAAGCTCTGAGCTGCAGCTCAAAGGGAATAAATGAAAAATGACTTGGACATGATGAGTGTGTCTGGGTGGCTGCTCCTGCAGTGATGTTCACAGCTTGAACTGAGCTCCACCTTTGTGTCAGCTACATGCTATAGTGTTAGCATTCATAAGAGTCTCAGTGTGTGTGTGTGTGTGTGTGTGTGTGTGTGTGCAGTGGAGGGCTCCAGAGGTGTGAGGAGAGGAGCCTCCAGCTGTCACTCAATCACAGCAGCTGTCAGTCAGACTGTCGATACACACTGAGCCGTGATGTCCAAACACTAAAGTCTGGATCAATACGTCAATGCACTTTCCATAAAGCTCTGTCATTTATCAAGCTGCAGACAGCTCCGACAATAAAGCTGCCAAATAGATGTGAAGGTTCATGCCCACTCAGCTGGAGCACACACACACACACACACACACACACACACACACACACACACACACACACAAACAGTGACGGGCTGTGTCTCTGTGCAGGTAACTCTATCAGCTGGATGGGGAGCCCCGGCTCCCTGCCTGCAGACATCACCCCCCCTCCTGCTCCCAGACCCTCCCCATTGGTTCAGGAGGATGAGCTGCTGAGAAACAACCACCTGCCTGAGCACAACAACATTGTGAGTACACTTCAGTTCATCATCAATAAGACAGGCTGCTAATTGTTCTCCTGATTAATCGTCTCATCAATGACACGTCAGAAACAAGACCAGCAGTCTGCAAACATGCTAGGTGCTCACAATGCTAACATGCTAATGTTTAACAGGCTATAACCATCTGAGTATAGCATGTTAGCATACTAATAGCACAAAGTACAGCTGAGGCTGATGGGAATGTCAGTAGTTTGTACTGGACAAAATGAAATTTTGTCTTGAAGGTGGCATTAGATACAAAGTGAAGGGAGTTATTAAAGTCATCCTCTGGGGACCATGAATGTCTGAACCTTCCAATAGATGTTGAGATGTTTCTTACTGCATCAACAGACCATGAGCCAGACTGCTAATGTGGCAAACAGATACCACCATGTCTTCAAGTATTATTAACAGTACAAAGATTTTCAGTTTACAGTCATGTATTATAAACAAAAAATAAAGTCCAACACAGAGTCCATGCTGTTAATTTTCATAGTGTTCAAACTGAAAAATAAAATCACCTGTAAAAGGGTTTTAAAGAACATTATGTCTAAAAGACATAAAATAATAAACATTAAGTCATTAACGTGCAGAATCCAATATAATCAGACGTGTTGCTATCACATGAAATGACTGACAACAAATTAATGTTCATGGGGCATGTAGTAATTAATTACATTAATTGAGTGTTTAATATTAATTAACAGTTTCAAGGAAATGCCACTGGCAGGCTTTTATTGTGAAGGAGCAACAGGAAGTGCTGAGAATATCAGTCAGGCTGATAGCAGATTAGCATGGTAGCATAAGAGGTAACACACTAATACATGTGTTCCGGACAAAGCTCATCATTGCTACACCTGTAACATACTGAGAGGAGCTGAAATGGGATCCGAAGGGGCAGGGTTCAGGACTGAGGTCCAGATGCTGGGAGAGACCTCATCGATACTCATGAATAGAGTTATTCAGATGGAGGAAGTTCACCTGTGAACCTGGGACACACTGAGCAGACCATAAGAATCATTGAGTACCACGCACATGATTTTATCTCCTGACTGTTAGTAGCAACTGACCTGGAACAGAGTCTTAGTCTGATCAGGACTGGGCTCATTATAAATAACATCTTCTCTATGTAATAATATAATAATAACTACATGTTCTTTTATTATTTCAATATCAGCTCTGATAATTAATAACTACAGAACAGAGAACTGCTGAAACATAATAATAAAGAGCTTTATTTTACTAAATGAAGTGAAAAGTATAGCTTTACATGTATTTGAACCATCTGTTAATCAGTTAACAGTTAACCATCTATTAACCAGTTGACATTTAACCAACAGTCTCAACAAGTTTATGATAAACAATCACAACACATCTTAACAATGAAACAGCTCTAACACATAATTTTCTCTTTCTCTCTTCTCTCCACTTCCTCCACTTGTCTCTCCTCTCTCTCTGTCCTGTGAGTGTCTCTCACACAATGACTCCAGTCATAGTGATTGGTTGAGTAATGTCATGTTAGTAATGTCACCTGCTAAAAACACTACAACACTCCATCACTCATGATTTATATGTCATGACGGTGTCTGGGTTTGGGTCTGGATCTGGACAGTGGTCCACCTGTTAGTGAACTCTGTTATAGAGTGACAAACTGTGTGGTGAGGAGGTCATGGTGAATGCTGGCAACCACAGTTTATTTCCTGTTGACAGTCATCATTGTTTTTTAAAGCGGCCTGAACTACATGTGTATTAGTGTAGTGATGATGACAAAGATCTCCTGACCTCATCAAGTCATTTTAATCTGTTTAATGTTAACATTGTCATAAAACAGGAAACAGACAGGAAACAAACAGGTGATACTGCTCTCCTGATGGAGGTGTCGGCACTGCCCCATTATGACTGGACCTGGGGGAGGTGGGGTGATTTTCCTGTGCTGGGAGGTGACTGTAATCCTGTGTGTAATAGTTACAGCTACAGTTACTAACTGATCTGTGAACTGACTGGTTCTCCTATCCAGAGATAGATCTGTCATTTTATTTTCTGGGCTTATCTATGCCTTTATTAGACAGGAGACAGGAAAGTTTGGGGTGAGAGAGAGAGGGGATGACATGCAGCAAAGGGCCATGGGTCGGATTCGAAACCAGGCCGCTGCAGTAAGTACTGAGTCCTAATGGTACGCACTCTACCAGGTGAGCCGCCGAGGCGCCCCACATCTGCCATTTTAAACTGGATCAGTCATGGAGTCATTACTGTGTAAACAGCTGCTTGTTCTTATCAGCTCAGACTGAACTTTGACTTTAGTGCAAATGGAGGAAGTCAGAAATGTTTTTACTAATCTGATAGATGGTAACATGCTAACATTGACATATTAGCCTATTTGGGAACCAATGATATAAGCCGCCATGAAAGACCCTTCAAATGTGCTGCTGTAATGTCGAACACAGGTACTGCTCTATTAAATGAAAGTAACCTGAATTAGCTGTTAGCACATCCTGTTAGTTCAGACAACTATGACTGTATCACTTTGATACTGAAGAAAAACCTGATGGTTGTCGTCAGGGGTAATGACTGGAGTGGAGGTCACATTAGCTGCTTTTCCATTGCAGTTTTGTGCAAAATAAGAGTGTTTTTTCTTTTTTAGAAAAGTGGACAAAACACAGTTGTGAATGGTGTCAGTGTGTTTTATGTGTGTGTTCCTCTTCCTCAGCTCTCCATCACCCCCACTGGACAGGCTCTGGTCCTTCTCCCTTGTCTTTGTCCTGCTGGTTGTCCAGATTTACCAGATGCTGTGACTTGTCCTGCTCTTTACCAGATGTTGGTGCCATTAGAATGATGCTGAGTTAGCTGTTAGAATTTCCTGTTAGCAGTGGAGCATGGATGTACAGACAGCTGTGACTGATCACTGTGATCCTGAAGAAAACTTACACCTGGTTCTGGTGTATTCTGTCTTAGCAGATGTTGTTAACACTGACGTTTGTATTCGATGTGAACTCAGAGGAGAACATATGATACACAGGGGTCTGTCTAATTGGTCTCTCCCAGCCAATCAGGCGTCAGTCTGTGGCTAAGAGATGAGTCTTGGCCCTGAAGAGTTTTGGTCTCAGTCCTGTTGGATGAGGTTTGTGTCTGCAGTTCAGTGATGTGCAGACAGTAACACACACACAGAGGCTGTGCTGTTAGCTCCTGTTAGCTCCTGTGTCTCAGAGACACAGCTCCTGGCTGCCCTTCATCAACACTGACCACTAAATGTGGTCCAATCCAATCCTGGTCCTGGCTACTGTAACCTTGGCCAGACCACAATCTGCTGTGGCTGTGGCTCCCTTGCTCCCAGCATGCCTAACTGCCAGAGATAATCTGGGCCTCCAGACAAGAGGGGATTCCAACTAACTCTTCCTCCTCCACTCGCTCTCTCTCTTTCTCTCTCTCTCTGTGTCCATCTGTGTCTCTCTCCCAGTGAGCGGATTAGATGAGGTGTTGGTTAGAAGCAGAGCATCAGTCAGGCTTCATTAGTATGAATTTATTCAACACCATATGTCTCCTGCTTTTTTCTCCTCTACGCACAAATCCCTCTCTTCCCTCCTTACTTTCTTCTCTCTATCCTTTTCTCACTTCCTTCATCTTCCTTTCCTTCTTTTACTCATTCACTCAGTTCATTCAGTGTTACATCTTCAATCTACCGCCGCCCCATCCATACCTGCTCCACATCTCCTCATCTGTCCGTCACTCAGCAGTGTGTCTTGTCTCTCCAAGCAGCTTTTGCTTGTTTCTCTAAAGTGATTTTTCCAGCAGAGTATTCAGAGTCTCTGCTGCAGCAGTGGAGGAAAACTGTCATATTCAGAAGAACAGATGAGCTCTTTGTTTTTATGTTTTCACAGTCAAATTTCTACAATCAAGGGGGGGTGGGGGGGTGGGGGGGGTATATAAGTTTGTATTTGTTAATGTTCCTTTAGGTTTCCTTTAGACAGACAAAGGGAGGTGGTGGAAAAAATGTATTTTATTCACAAAAAAGTCACTTACGACCAATCCAAAAAAACTAGTCAAACACCGGGAACTGAACAGGCAAAACAGAAAACCCATAGCTATGGATAGATGTACGCTTCATGTGGCCTCATATCACCTCACATAAAAATAATATAGGGTTATACTGGCAGTTTGTACATTTGTTGTCAGGTGAAGGGGATTTAATTACTCCTGACTGGCAACAACAACAAAAGGATGCAGGACTTACCTGAATGTGGAAGTACAGTGGAAGTTTTAGGACATTAACCCTTTCATTTCTGAACCAAACCTGATATAAGAATTATTTAATGAAAGAAAGAAAAAGAAAGAAAGAAAGAAAGAAAATAACATTTAAAATTATTTCCACCAGTCTGTCCAGGGGGTCTAGCAGCTGAAGAGAGTGAGCTGAAGGTAGGTGCACTCAGAAAACAGCAAGCCAATCAGAGGAGAGGCTTAGAGCCTCCTCTCTTCTGATTGGCTCACCAACCTGTTGTTACTAGAGCTTCAGAGAGAAGCCTGAGAGAGGAGATGTAAAACTACACTGAGATGGTTTTTGGTTCTTAAAACCACAAATATATCTTCTTATGGATCAACACTTCAGATAAAAGAGAAAAATATGGAGCTCTAAAGTGAATGAAAGTAATCTCACACTGTGTGTGTTAATAAGGCAGATCGGTTGTTCCAGCAGAATCCTTCTTATCCAAACAAATGCAAAATAAGACATCTTCTGTTTTTTTAAAGATTATTTTTCTGCATTTTGAGACAGGAAGCAGAGAGAGGGTATGACATGCAACAACGCTCACACTCATTGTTTTCATGTAGTGTGAAGAAGTTAGTTTGGATCTCTGTTTGTTTGTTCTTCAGTGCAGAAACTCAGAAAGATTCTTTTGATTAAAGTCCATATGACACTGAACATATGGAATATAAATTCTGTTTGATCAAATTCAGTATCAAAGCTGGAAAATAAAATGAGACTTTCTGAGAATTTTAAATGTGTGATAAGCTGTGCGGCGGAGCATGACACATCTATTTTAAAATTCTATATTCTATAATCAGAATTATGATGAAATACAAATGAAGAGTTACCACTTTTACCTGCTGAGAGCTGTTCTGTCCTTCACACCATGTCTCCCTGTCAGGTGGTGGAGAGTGAGGAGGAAGAGCAGGAGCTGACACAGACAGAGGAGGAGGGTGATGAAGGTGGCCAGTTTGATGTCATCCCTCTGTACTCAGAGAGGGCCACCGTCTCCAACCTGGGCTCCTCTGGGACCGGAGTGGCTCCAAGCCTCAACACTGGCCCCGCTAAACCCACTGTACTGCTGCTCCTGCTCCTGTCTGCCTCCCTCAGCTGGGGGTAGAGTGGGCATACAGACAGACACACACACACTAACACACTAACACACACACACACACACACACACACACACACACACACACACACACACACGTAATGGACCCTCTAACAATCGTGGACTTATTGCTGTAAAATGATAAGAAACATGTGAAGAGATGGACTTCACCTTTTGTCAGTAGCATCCCCTCAGTCCTTCACTTCCTTCCTTGCTTCCTTCCTTCCTTCCCTCTCTGCTTTGGTCAACATGGTCTGACTGCAGCTGCAGTGGTGCATTAACGTCCTGCAGACAGGTGAGCAGGTGTGCATGCTGCCATCAATGAGCTTCACGTAGATATTCAGTATTCTGTTAGTGTGAGCGGCTCCTCGGGTGTTAGCATGCTAACATTAGCCCAGGTGTTTCAGTGGGATGAAACACTGGCTCGTAGGTAATGCTGTGTTGTTGTGATGTCATACATGTCACAACAGCCTGAAGAGAAACAACTGACAAGTCAAACTCCTCCTCCTCAGTCTGAATATATCCTTCAGCTATAGCTGCAGCTGCCAATCAATAACAGGTCTGAGGTGAAAGATGGTCCCATGTGTCCTCAGTCCTTGATCCTCACTCCTCGATCCTTGGTCCTCAATCCTTGATCCTCAGTCTTTTGTCCTACGTAAGTCCTTTGTCCTCATCCCTCACTCCTCAGCCCTGACTCCTCAGCCCTGACTCCTCAGCCCTCACTCCTCAGCCCTCAGTCCTCAGCCCTGACTCCTCAGCCCTCACTCCTCAGCCCTCACTCCTCAGCCCTGACTCCTCAGCCCTGACTCCTCAGCCCTCACTCCTCAGCCCTCAGTCCTCAGTCCTTGCTCCTTTCTCCTCAGTCCTCAGTCCTCACTCCACTGCTAGTTAGACTGATTGGGACACACTGTATAAATGTAGACTTTTATTAATGTAAAAAGAAACTCTGCTGCTGTCAGCAGTCTCATTGTGTTCACATTCATCCTCATGATGAGTGAGGAACCAGGACAGAGACGATGTGAGTGCTGCATGCTGGGTGTTCCTCTGTTCCTCTGCCTGGATGTGAATACCCCACAAATATAGAAATGCCCCCGGCTGCAGTCAGACCTTGTTTTTTCTTCTGTAAAGAAAAAGATTACATTTTGTTTTGAACGTATTGATAGATGAAGACTCGTCCTGTGTAGGAGACTCACCTGTGTGTGGGTCACCTGACAGCAGCAGAGTGAAAGGACACTGATTTACAGTGCATTAGTCAAACTTTATCATGGTGATGAATGGACTGAGTCTGCTCTTTCTGTTCAACAGCCATGGTGAAAGACAAATTACACACTTGTCTCTTATTGTTTAATGAACATGAAGCACAGAGTGTGTGATGTGTGTGTGTGTGTGTGTGTGTGTGTGTGTGAGTGTGTGTGTGTGTGTGTGGGATCAGCAGAGACTGCAAACACAACTGGGTAAAGCTTTTTGTTATAATTTAAATCTTCACTTCATCGTTTCCACCCACGTCAGCACACACACACACACACACACACACACACACACACACACACACACACAACGACAACAAACACACCCACACAACACCGCACTGCCTATATTGAGCCAATGCAGCTCTTTCTTGCTTTATTGCTCCTTCCCTGTCCCCCCCACCCCACTGACTCAGGACCAGGACCAGGCTGCCACAGGCTCTGATATGAATAAAAGCGATATAATAAAAACAACACACCAGAAACAATATGAGCTCTAAAACAGCAGAACAAATCAAATGACTCCCCAGCAGGCGAAAACACACAGTACCATTGACACCAACACAGAGAGAAAGGGGGGGATTGGGAGCAGAGACACGGGGGGGGGAACAAAATAAGGCCGAGTCCCTGTGTGGTCTTTGTGCGTTTGATGTTTTACTTGTTTATAGTTGGGGGCTGATAATCAGTCCCTGACAACATCTCTTTATCATCTGACAGGCTCCTGGGGGGTGCAGGGTTGGTGGGGGATGGGAGGTTTGCAAGGTGGGTGGTGGGGGGGTATCAGGCAGTGATAGAAATAGAGCAGTATAGTGACAACAGAAGGGCCCTGGAGCACAAACATCTTCAGCAGCTCTTGATTCTCTGTGTCTTATAAATCTTTTGCTGACACTAATGTTTTTCTTCCTCATTCCTTCCTATTTCTGGGGAACGTGTAGAATTAACTTCATCTGCAGGGGCGCCAGAGATGGTGGAGGGCATGGAGACAAAGGAGGGACGAAAGGGGCGGGGGCAGAAAATAGAGGAGAGCATCAAGAAAAAGAGGATGAAAGAAAAGAAGAGGTGGGAGGAGGAAGGAGGAAGGAGAGGAACAAACAAGAAAAAGCAGAAAAGACGCAGAAGCAAATAAGTGGAAAAGAAAAAGATGGAAGGGGCAAAGAGAAAGAAAGAGAAGAGGATAAAAGAAACAAGATAAGAGGGAGAGGTGAGGAGGAAAAGGGGAAGGAAGACAGGCTGATGAAGAGGAGAGTTGAGAAGAAAGGAAGAAGAGAAGGAGAGGAGGAATAAAGAGACCGGTGGAGTCAGACTATACAAAACACTGAAAGGTGAAAAGGAACAGAGAAAAGAGAGGGCAAGGAAAAAAGGATGAGCAGAGAGAATAAAGACGAAGAGAAAAAGGAGGCACAGAGGAGGAGGAGTTCTTCTTTCTGAAGCCACTGAGGACACAAACTACAAAAGAAAAGAAAGGATGAGGAGAGAGAAAGAGAGAGAGGGGAGAAAGGTCTGCATTGAACTTTAACCTCTCTTTGTCTGCTGTTGTGTACAACTGCTGAGAAACACACACACAGACCTATACCTCAGTGTGTGCGTCTGTGTGTGTGTGTGTGTGTGTATGTGTGTGTCAGCCTCAAACTAAACCTGTCCGTCAGTGAAAGTCACCTGGTCTGTAAACACTGATGATGTGAGGAGGAGTTTGCTGAAGTCAGAAACAGTAATCAGGCTGTGATCTAACAGAGGACTGATTACAATGAAACATTCATTTATTGTAATGACTGTATTCATTATATAGATGCAGATCTTGACAGCTGTGTAAAGGTTAAAGAAAGCTCGTCATCACACTCAAGTCATTTAAGTCAAATTCAGACTCAAGCAGGAGAAAATAAATTCCACATATTGTCAAAAAAATGTCATGAACCGATTTAGACTGAGACTCCTCTGAGCCTCAGAGCTCCTCTGTGAACCACACACATTAACACACATCAGTCCATCACACATATGTTCCCTCGTCACCATCAACACACACACTGGAGTTTATTCTGACTCGGTCCTGCACACACTGTCCTGCTGTCACAAATACTATAGCACTAAATGTGGATTTATCCGCTGCTGAAAATAGTCCCCCATAAATGCACTTTTTGCTCCTGTGTGTTTGTTAGAAACTACAGGGAGCAGCTTTTCAAGATTTTATTAAACAGGAATAAACACAGCATATTGCTGGGCCCTATATTCCCCACCCCCTCTGCATGCGTTCTGGGCTCACACATGTATGTAATCAACCTTCACTGATGCGACTCAGCATCAGCCCACTGAAAAGCTAGAGGGCTTTTAATTTGAAACGAATACAGGAAGTGTTGACTAATGCAGTAAGGTTAACAGGGCAAACAGGAGTGCATCAAAGTGAGGCTTCATACTAATACCACTATTTCCAATTCCACATGTCAAATTGAGGGAATTAGAAATAAAGACGTGTCTAATAAAGACTGTATTCCTGCTGGGACTGGATTTTGCATTTTGAAACAAGTCAGAGACCTGATCACATCTGGTTGTACCTGGTCAAACTAAATCTATTTATTTCCATGAAACTGCTCCAGACCCCCCCCACAGATCCCCCCGCTGCTGTTCATAGAATTTCACCTCCTCCCCCCAACATCCACCTGTGAGCTCAGACTCCATGTTCCCATTGGGGACAAGTTAGTCATGTCCACTTGCTCTGTGAGCTTGATGTTTCCTTGTGCAGAGTGAAGGTCACAGCCTGGATGTCAATGATCATCATTTACATAACATTTACATTGTGGTCTGTTCCATGTGGGTCAGCTGACTGACCACATTTGAGGTGAAGATATCCCTCCATCTCCCCCTCACCCCCACCTCCTACCACCCAATAGTAGGGGTTAATTGAGATCAGCAGGGGAGGGCAGGCGAGTGATTGACGGGGGCCAGCGGGGGCTAGAGCGACGGCCCTTTACAGGGGAAACCATTGTTCATAGTAATTGACTCAGCTGTTTGCCGTCCAGTGGCAGGACAACATGAGGGGAGAGAGAGACAGAAAGAGAGAGAGAGAGGGAGGGAAAGGTGGGAGTGGACACCAGTGATTTACATTAATATCTACTGAAATTAACAAGTGGAGAAGCCATGCATTAAATCAACCCAGAGAGAGAGAGAGAAAGCGAGAGAGAGAGAGAGAGAGAGAGAGAGCCTCCAGGGTGAGGAGGAGGATGTGTGTGTGTGCTTGGAAAGAAGCATCTTTTATTGTTCTATTACTGTGCAGTATATTTACACACAGGAAAGTGCACACACACACGCACACACACTCACGCACACACAAACACACACACACACACACACACGCACACACACACACACACACACACACACACACACACACACATACACACAGACACACATACACACCATGTCAGATTTGAGCATCTAGTGTGTCTGCTTTCTCTCTCCAGTATTTTAGTATTCTAATCCATCATTGGCCTGACATGGGGAAGCTGTCTCTCTCCTCTCTCTTCTCTCTCTCTGCCTGTGTCTCTCGCTCTCTCTCCTCTCTCTCTGTCTGTCTCTCTCTCCATGCTGCTGCACATACACCGCATCCAAACGCAAGATAAAGACGGAGCAGGGGGAAAAACAAACTCCACAGCAGGGAGAGCTTTATCCACAGAGATAAAGTGGCGGAATAAAGCAGCGACAAAGATATGTAGAGGAAGTGAAAAAGATGGAAAGAGAGGGAAAACGGGGGGATGGAGCAGAGGCAGAGAAAGAAGAGGAAGGGGTGGAAATGGAAGTGGGGAAAGCAGGGAAGGAGAGGGAAATGAAGGCAGAGGGGGAGGGGTGGTGGGGTGAGAGAGGAAAAGATAGAGACAGAGAGATGTGTGTGTGTGTTTGTGTGTGTATGTGTGTGTTGCAGTGTGTGGCGGCTGTAGTCCTCCCTGCTCCATTTCACACTCTGTAGGTCCTGAAGCATCGGCGCTCAAAGACTCACACACACACTCACACAGAGACACACAGGCTGTGTCCTTTTTCAATTTCTAATTCACACACACATATACACAAAACACACACACACACATACACACACACACACACACTGGTTTGCCACCATTTCTTAGTTTTCTCAGTCATGCTTGCAGATAAACAAAGATCCACAAACACACAGTCACTGTCACTAAAGTCCTGCAGCAGCTGGACCTCTCTCTGCTGTCAGTCACAAACATCTCATCTCTAAAACATGTCAGTGCTGTTTGAACTGGTGAGGTCACATGGTTCAGTCACTGTGAGGCTTCTTCTACAGCTGCTACCTTACACCAGTGACTGACACAGAGGGAAACACAAACTGACATTTGGATTAACATTTGGATTAGTTATAAAATTATAACTTTGTTGTTTCAATAATACAACTTTTTTCTCAATTATTTACAACTGTACCTGAACCCACAGACATGTTTTGTTACCAGTGGCCCTACAACAGAGAAGCAGATTATTCTGTTTTAACTGAACCTTTAAAAGGTTCATGTTGTTAACACTAGACAGTGTTACTGTGTTTCATCATGTTTTTT